ACTACTACCTAGTACCTCCTATATTGTTTTTACTCCAAGTAAAATTCCGCAAAATCAAATCTTATAATTCATCAGAGAAGCGGGATTTGTTGGACTGTACTTCAGAAGCAAAGAAAGTTCTGTCGAAATAACTTCCGACCAATTTTTTGTTCCGAGGATGTGAGGGCGGTGGTCAAAACAAAATAGGTGATAAATATAGGAAGCGCTCTACGTCTTCAAATGATCGATATCGTGTACCGCGATATCACTATCAAAAGATAAGAAGATGACATAATAATGTTTTACAATTTTATAAGAGTAACGACAACAAGAGCAGGAAAAGATCTCGTCGTTTTCCAGAGGCGAAAAGGGACGGCTCCCAGTCACTTACGGTTGTGGTGGCGGCGACGGTAGCGCATTGGTCCATTGTACATACTCGCGGCGGCAGCGATAAGCGATGACGTCAGACTGAATTACCAGGCCTCTCCCTGTCCTGTCGATACTATCTTAGCGATACGACAAATCTTTTTTCTCTACAGTACGGGACACAACGACCGTCCTCTCCACCACCAACTCGCTATGGTTCTTCCCTCGGGAAAAAATTCTCTTCCTCTTCTGAAAAAGGTGTCACTCTTGTCAGAGCTCTCGAGGTACTCCCTTCTCTCCAGGAACCATAAGTTCTCGTGCGCAACGAACTTACTGCGCCAACTATGGCTGACTTGACACATGGTTTGTTTACAGTGTGTGGCGATACTTGAAATGGAAGTAACGGTTTGTTAAATTTGCAATTTTACGTCGGTATTTTCTCCGAACAATTAAGAATTAGAAAATTTGGAACGTTTCCTTGTATAAACCGACACAGAGGACAGTAATTTAGGGGGTCATTAAACGTCGAGAAACATGAAAGTAGCCATCGCCCCATGGACCCTATTACAATACTTCCTTCGCTTCCGCTTGAGAAATAAAAATATTGATAATTCTCGTCAGAGTGTAAGGAAAAAATTGTCTCTTGAGTTGGTCAGTTGCTCAAAGTTCCTCTTACATCAGTATAAAATGTTGTTATACATCTTTGAGTTTTTTGCGAAAATCTGGATGCCTAGGGTAAAGAAATTAAGGCGGATTCACAAGCGGTAAGTATATTAATTTATTAAGTTTAAATAGCATTTATCATGCAAAATTTTGAGATGACGTCATCAAATTGTTACTGAAGATGATAAGACAAATTTTAGTTAATTTCTACCATCAATAAAATTGGACACTAATTACTCCAGTAGTTTCTGAGGTTATCTGTCTAATAAATATTGACAGAAACGATAGACAGAGAGAAACGGGGGATCTATTTTTGCATATTCTACGGGTCATTAAATGTTGCAAAAACATGAAAAAGACCGTTCTACTTTGTATTGCAAGTATTTATAAAAATTTAACTTATTTTACGTCAGTATAAATAATTATATTAAAGAAAGGATGTGATTCAATCCTAAATAAAAGTCCATGCCACACTATAAACTAAAATTTTGTCACGATTAGTTCTAATTAGCGAATTACTATGTTCATGATACCCATGAATAGTGTAAAAATCTAAAAAAATCGATTCTGAATTTTATTAGGTATATTGTAAAATGTAAACTTTGGTTAGCGTTTTACTACCTACAATATAGTTTTAAAATACAGCTAAAATACATAGCAATTTAGCAAATTATGTGGCTAATTAAACGCCAACAGAATATAAACGACGACAGACACAAGGAAATGGAAGACCTACCTTAACCATTCGTTTAATAGATACTTGTGATTTCTGTGTAAATGTTATTTTACATGTGCTGTAGATATTTTTGTTTATAAACAACTGTTTATTTTGTTTTTTGTGTAATCTAATTTTATGTTACAATCTTCAACATATTTCTTTCGAATATTTTTATCTTTATATTTTAAATCAATATTTAGCAATTTGTTTTAGTTTTATACATATATATTAGGGTGATTCAAAAAAATAAAATAATTTTTTTTTTCGTGTCAAAGAGGTTCAAAAGTTTCTTTTCAACGTAAAAAAATACCAGTTAAAAGTTGAGCTCTTAATATTAATATTAAGACCGTCCGCATCGCGTTTTTCTATTTCCCATAAGAATAACATGGGAAAATTTTTGTTTGCACCTTCTGATTTTTATTGCTAGCCCGTCGTGTGTCGTGAAAAAAATTCAATCACATATTTTTATAGAGAATTGAACGCTCTACAAAAAGTGTCTCCTATGATTTTGCGAGAAAACTGACTATGATTTTTTAACCCACTGATGCTGAAAATGTTCGGAAAGAGTTTTACTGGCCTTATTATAGCATAAAATTATAAACAATTACTGTTTAAAAAACTAAATTTAAAATGTGTATAAATTTTTGTGGTGATTTATTCCAATAAGACCATCAAATTTATTGTAATGCATCAAAAACGTCAAAATTTGGATAAATTTAACTTTAGCCTAAAATAACTCTTCAACTATCAGGTTTCTCGCACAATCATAGGAGACACTTTTTGTAGAGCGTTCAATTCTCTATAAAAATATGTGATTGAATTTTGTTCACGACACACGACGGGCTAGCAATAAAAATCAGAAGGTGCAAACAAAAATTTTCCCATGTTATTCTTATGGGAAATAGAAAAACGCGATGCGGACGGTCTTAATATTAATATTAAGAGCTCAAATTTTAACTGGTATTTTTTTACGTTGAAAAGAAACTTTTGAACCTCTTTGCACGAAAAAAAAAAATTATTATTTTTTTTTGAATCACCCTAATATATATATATATATATATATATATATGTTTTTCTTAACGTATTTGTTGTGAAAATTGAGTTAATTTATACAAATTGCAAAATAAAATGGATATTCTAATCAAATAGCCCAAAGAGATATTACATGTAGAAGGAAAAAGTTTCAAAATGGTATTCAAAAATGTGACAGGAAGTTTCCATTCAATTTAAAAAAATATGTAAGTAAATTCCCCAAAAATTCATATTAACGAAAAGTAACGTACATGTCGTAACTTATGTAAAAAATATTACTAATTACTAAACTAATTACACAAGAAGTTTCTACCCTGTATAGTTACTTATTTAAGTAACTTTTATTGAGACGATTTTGTCATAATCAATTGTAGTATAATCAAGCGTATAATTTAAGACTAGTCAAGTGCTATGCACTGATGTCCTTCACCACCATGTTGGCGCAGCTAAATAAAAAATGGTAATTAAGTAACGCATGAAACCATAAATATTTTTGTGTAAAAATCACAGTCTTTATTTTACACTGATTAGATTGTTTATATACGATGGTTACATAATGTAATCGCAAACATGTTCAAATTTAAAGCAATATTTATCAAAAAGTTTATGTTGATGTTGACGTTTGCCGAGCTAAAAACTAATAATTTTCTTTAGTGTAATGTCGACTGTAACATATTACTTTTGAAATCACCAAATTTCATTTATGTAGTAGGCATTTTTCGATAAACATCGCCCGATCGTGTACTTTTAGTAATTTTTCTACTGTAATATAGAAATTAAGGTTAGTTTTTTTGTGCGCGAAAATGAAATATTAAACGTCAACATAGTTTAATTAAAATTTAGCAGACTTCATACGCTTGTGATAATTAAATAGATTTTTAAATTAGTTAAAGTTTAATTACCTAAACATGCTTTTCCATATTTTAATCAAAAGGTAAAAAAACACAGAGCCGAGGGTTTTCATCGGGTTCTGAGAGAGAGGCCGCGAGGAAAAATCCCATGGAAAAATAATTTTCGGTAGTCTCTTCAGCAGAATTAAAAATAATGATAAGTAAGCTTAAGTGTGGATCTCTTTAAAATTCTACAAAAAAATGACATACATACGTACAGCATGCTTCTTTCTTCGTCTGTACTACAGGGGCGAGGCAGGTTCTGCCTAAATAACTTTCGACAATATTTTTTTCATTTATGTCAGAAAAGAGTAGCTTATTATTAAATCTATTATTCTTTTTAAATTAGAAGAAATTTCAGCTTTTATGTAAATTGGCAATTAAGGCTAACTTAATTAAACCATTACTTGACAATTTCTTTGTCGCGATCTACAATAACATGACCGATATTCACCTCAAAAGATATTTAACAAAGTTATCGGTTTTTAAGTGTCAACATGTATGTAAACCATCTTGTACCTTCGACATTTACATGAACTTCATTATTTAATCAGTCGTTTAGATAGTTAACTAGTTATTACGGTATAACATAATACTAAGTAAAAAGAGAATTTATGGAATCAATTATTCAAAGGATGGGACGTATCCATCGTTTCCATTATTATATTCAATATATAATAATTGTACAGGTGCTCCTAGTAAACTTACAAAGCGCCGACACTGCAGGTAAAAACGAAACATCAATAATGTGATGAATACTTAATTTTAATAGCAGTACACTGACCATATAATGAAATTACAACAGTTCTAAATCACGTCCAGTTTTTGAGATTTACACTGGAATTATTTATGGAAACTTTTTTACCTGCTTTAAGCCAGCATTATACAATATTTAATATTAATACCCTATTGTAAACTACACACAAAGAGTACACAATTTACAGATTAAGGACCCATGTTTCCACTAAAAAACAACTTTATCTAACTACATTTCGTAACACGATCGAAAATTTGGTAACATTTTTCACGAAAAACACTGCAACCGTGTTGCGCGGCCAACGAAATAAAAATAAAAGACGACTCTCTAGCCACCTCCCGGTGATGCTGCCTCCTCCAATTTAAAAATTCTTTACGGCCAAAAAATCAAAAACCATCATGTCTTCATGCAAACAAAAATGAATAATGATTTCCTTATTTAACAAGCCGGAAAGTAATGAGGATTTATTGCAGCAATTCGTTACGTACTGTGATTAACGGTTAACACACACATTTCAAAATGTGCATACGCCTGCTATTAAAACGCACGTGTTCGTATGGATTCTCGAAGAAAAATAAAAATAAGGAAAACTCACCGTCTCGGCTCATTCCCAGTCGAAGACATTTTTGTAGTCGGCAGTATTGACATCGATTCCTATTTACCCTGTCGACGACACAGTTTTTATTTCTAGGACACTGATAGTTTACAACAGAACTTTGGGATCTTCGGAAAAACCCCTTACAACCTTCGCAAGTAATGACACCATAGTGAACACCGCTGCTCTTGTCCCCACATACTTTGCACGGGATTATCTCGATTTGTGCTGCAAAAGAAACACTCTGTTAGAGAAAATCAATCGGAAATTTGTTTTGATTAAAACAACAATTTATTAACCTATTTTTATTGACGCAGAAGCGGCCTTCAGATCGTTTACCTGCCTATGGCAGAAGTTATCTCAGCTTGAGATAAATAGGGTGCAACTTAACGTGATCCTTCATCAAAGCGCTTGGATACTGCTACTACTTTGGTTAACAAGTAATCAGGTAATCTCGTCAGAAGTGCAGCTACTGTACAACAAAATATAATATGCAGGAAAAACAGGTGGCCTTGTTCTAGTTACCGCTAGAATCTTGATGAGCGTTGCACAAATTTGTGTTATGCACAAAAATATGAATTAAAGCAGCAAAAATAGAAGCTCATTTAGTTTCCCGCCAACTGACACATGTTTATCGATTTATTTATAGCAATTAATTTTTCCTTGAACGAGCAATATCATAAAATTATCTAGTGTTGACAACAAATACATACATACACACATTTTTAACTGGGTGTACCTATACTTGTCAGATTTAGTTAATATCTTCGTACACTGAGTGCCGAATTAGGAAAGTCGTTCTCGTTCATTTTGGACGTGGAACTTTCTACGAAAGCCGACTGACGAAACTTCTGCGAGTAAACAGATACCAACAACTCTATTTCATAATTAGTATGAGAACACTTTGATCGCTTTGATAAATTCTTTATCAAAAGTGAAAATATTGCATGATAACGTATGAATAACACGCAACTACTGTCATGTGAGGGAGATTAGGGAAGAATTTTGTTACTTAACACCAGAATTAAGCCGGTGTGGATTAAGTGCAAAATAAATATTGTTTTGGACTTATTTCCAAGTGCATTAAACATTGTTTACAAAAAGAGGGCATTTACATGTCTTTTCATTAGAACCACAAAAATATAAAAAAAAGACCAATAAAACGTTACAGGTAACAGTGGTGTTAATGCCAGCACAAACACGAAACATTTTTGTATATTACACAGAGACACAGGTGTAATGTTGGTTGCCTAACTCGATTATTAGTCCTGCAGGTAATTTTAAACAAAAAACCTCTAATTAGTGCCAACATTCACCAAAACAAATTCATTTGGATATTAAGTTGGTTATTTTACAATTCGGATAAGTGTATGATATGAAAATTTCATGAAAAACTTACTGCTTCGAATTTTAATCAATCACACAAAGATTACTCAAAATTTCAAACCGCTAATATATGTTTTAAATTTGTGCACTCGTGATTTATAATAATAATGTTGGAAATGTTTTGCCTATCTATGCAGTTGCATTTTATTAAACACAATGTATCTTCCGTTAAAATAAATTAATTGCAGTATAAAATTCGTTGGCAGGAAGTAGATATCACTTAATTCTAAAGTTGCAAATTAGCTGTCAAGGTCGTGATTTGTTGTGGACTTATTTTAGAATGTGATAATATTCGGCCAATATTTATTTTAATAATTAAACATGGATTTGGTGGATTATTTTTAGTATTGTATTATTAACAGAGATATAAATAGACCACCAAAACTTAAAAATATTTTTATTTTACACTCAGTCTATCGTAATCAATTCTTTATCACCAGACTCATCGGCTCGAGTGAATTGGTGAATGAATCAAACTTATCACACGTATTTTATTTACGAGTTACGTAGAGATAGCAACTATGTAGATCTACAGACGTGATATGCTATCAAATTCGTTAAGTAGATGTTAAGGAGTTGTAATTAATAACGATTTGGATAATTAAAAGTGTTTTTGAATTTAATCTTCTTTCTTGTTATTTACTTATTTATTTATTTATTTTCAGTAAGTTTGTTTATGGTGAAAATTGCAATTCAGAATATATATCGCTTTGTATTATTTATTTGACTTCAAACACAATTGTTTCCTCTGTTTCTTTGGCGAACAGTGTATACGAACGCGTTATTGATTCGCACTGTGACACAACAACAACGCAATGAATCCAAGTACGAAGTCATATTGATGGCGCTGAAGTCGAAAAAACTGTGAGCATTATTGACTATTATTTCAAAAACTCTTTATATTCTTTATAGCCATTTAATGTTTTGTAATATAATTTTTAAACATAAGATAGTGCAAAAAATTCGCAACTATAGAAAGTGAATTAATTAAATAAAATAAATATTTCGGGTTATTAAATTTTAACACCTTCACGAACAAGATCACTTAGAATGAGAACAAAAACTCGACTTATATTTCATATATTTGTTGCCCGACAAAAGTTTTATAAATAAAATTCACATCATTTACTTACTCACATTTCTGGTTGAAATTACTTAACGGTGAAAGTTTTACAACTGTAAATTCGTATGACGTCAGACATAAAATATTTTAGCCCAAAAAAGTATCCGAGCAAACGCGAAAAATTTGCAATAACACTGAAAACCACACATGAGACAAGTATTTTTAAGTTGTTCGTCATGTAAAAACCGTCGAACCAATCTTGTTCAGAAACAAAAATACACCATTGTTATTTAACCTTTTTCAACAATATGTACGTCAAGCATTAAGAGAAATTACATCAAGCGACAGATTCCTCTACGTTGTGTAATCGTCATTTCCAGATTTACAATAAATCTTCGTGTATTTTAAACACGTCTATTGTTCGAGAGAAAAATAAACTGTACAAGAAGCAAACAACCTCGAGTGACACTGGAAACAAACTATTTAGAAGACGTATATAAAGTTGAACAATTTTTAAGTAATCTAAATATAAGTTTTTTCTATTTTCGAGCGGCATGAGTGAGTCAGGCGCGTTTAAAAGTAAAATTCCGACAAAAATTTCATCTCGGCTCTCGTATTTGTCTTAATATGGATCAGATAAGTCTTGAGTTACATGGCGATCTGGAACTGTAACCGAAAGTGGTGCGACATCAAAGGTCGTTGACAGTTCTTGTCATCGTCACCGTCAGATCGTTGTATCAGCTGTTCGACAGTATTTTGAAAGAAGGGGTTATTCGCCGGCAAGAGTTGTGGGTACCGAATATCAAATTCCGTAGTCGGTAGATACTGGATGTGTTAGTTTTATTATTTATTAATGTGCAGGTGCGCCATTCTCTATTATGCTCATATTGATGACATAACAGTATTAAAGTGACAAGACAATTAATATTTAAAGTGAATTATATACGGTTTCATCAGATGAACTGAAACTTCGCAGAGTTTTGCACAATTTTACATCATATAGTGCGATTCATTTCACTTCTTATCTAGTGGGTTGTTGTTTGGCAACACATGTCTTTGAACTTTATTACTAGCACCAAGTTCGTTAAACTTTTTTTAATTTTAGGTGAATCACGCGGTTTCACATTTTCATCACTATCACTATCACTATTGATAAAAGTTACGTTTGTAATAAACAGGTGTTAAAGAGCTTCCTCATACATTTCATTTGATTATCAAAAAGTTCCAAATTGCATATTTAAATAGAAGTTCCCCTAATCTACGTAAGACATCACTTGGTTCACTCTAGTGTTGAAAAAAATGTTAATGCATGTTCTGTAATCATAATCACTAAATCAGTGTACTACTTATTAAAATTTAAAAAGTTTGTTATGTTGGTTTTTATTTTTTTACGATAACCCATATGTGTAAGCTTAAAAACATCGATATGTCATTAAACCACCTAGCAAGTTATAATACAAATTTCAAGCAAAATTTAGATCGCAAAATGAAATGAGGTGGAGATGAACAAACGAATTTTGATTAAAATCAACAAGATAATTTTTAAGTACACTTGAAATTTCACAGTAGTCAGTCATTTAATTGGGAAAATTATTTGTCTAATAAAATCGCTAGCAGACAGACGACAGACGTAAACCGACGTTCATATTTTCCAAGCTTTAAAATGGAGAAAAACCGATTTCAATACTGTCCTGACTACGCTCGGAAAGTTTTTCAAATAATAATCTATTACGTCATCAAATACAGCTTAAAGTTTACCACTGACACGCCTATACATTCCATGTAAATGTTCCTTTACAGTATATTTTTAATAGCTTACTGAACATTCAAAAAGAACTTAAATTTTGAAATTTATATAAGATTTTTCTTTCATTTCTTCCACCACGTATGTCGTGGAAAATTATTCTTTTTATCGAAAGTTTTATAACTGTGTTTGTATAATTACAAGTGTGGTAAAAATGCACTCAAACCCCACAAAAATTTTATATCCCAATGAAAACAAATTTGTCCCCCTGTCACAGAATGTACCGAGAGAACAATAAAAACACGATCAAAGACATTCATGGATTTTTGAAAGTTTGTCTTTGATCATTGCATTTTCAACTCAAACTTTCAAACTGACGGTAACTTGTCAAAGTCTTCAAAAATGCATTGTCTGGGATTGTGTTTTTTATTGCTCTCTCGGTATTTTCTTGCACGGTCTAAAGCACATTTCGGTAGTATAACTACATTATTTAGGTTTTTTTTTTTCAGTTTTGAAGTCAAAAAGTGGAAAATGAGGCAATTTGTCAACAATCACTTCAGATAATTCACATGAACAACACACATTTTTTTAACAAAGTATATATTTTAGTGTTAACATTGTACAGCATTATACAAAAAAGTACAAATCGATATGAATTTTTAGATTTTATACGCTAAGTTAATTTTGGCAGTTTTTTCAGTGCGTGATAAAATAATTGTCTTGTCAGACTTCTTGAAAAAAAAAGTTTATCCCATAGAGTGATCCTTTTTTTGGAATAGTTATATTTATGTTACAAAAACAATAAATACATTCTAAAATCGACTTTTACTTTAAACGGGATCTGGTTATTATTCAAAAATGATATCCATGTTGGAAAGAAAAGCAAAACAAATTTTTAGAATAAATATAAGTAATACATGCATAACGTTTTCAGTATTATCGAAAACATGTTTTAAAAACACCATGATTTTTGAAAAGTTATTAAGTTAACTATAAATATAAATATAACAGAGAGCAACTGCATCAGGAATAACCAAATTTTCGAATAAATAAAATAAAAATTTCTTTTCAACAATGGAAAAATCAAGAGTTTTAGAAGAGAACATTTTATCACGTATCTATAGACTCAATGTTTCAGAAATGACTCAAAAAACATAATAATACTAATAAATAAATCAAAAACTATCTTCGAGCCTTTTAATACGTCTTGGTCGTTAAATTTAATTCCTATACAGGTAGTATATTTGAATTAGTTTACGCAAACACCCTGTATATCAAATACACAATTACTGCTACTTCATATCAAAACATAAAATCGTTGTTAATTATTATTAGGCGATTTTAATTATTTGTATTAAGTTTATGTTCTTGTCATATTACACATGTTTTTGTTTTCAACGAAAAACAACATTTTCAACTTTTCAATAACACGTATGATCAAATTTTAAGAAAGTAATACAGCAGTTCACCATTCAATATTCCACACATAATGCACAGTTTGAACCTTGTTTGTTATAAAAACAGAATAACTATTCTACATCCAAAGTAACCAGAACTTCAAAATAAACAAAATATTAAAGATCAAATGAGTCATGTTATAGCAAAGTATGTTGAAATACGTTTGAACTGTCACCTGGAAAAATTTGCCACGCATCCTGCATAGTGACTCGTCATTTTCGTTGCTAGGTACACCAACTTGAAAAAATTTGGGCTAATTGTAGTTTTTTTTGACAAAACGTGGAGGAACAAGTCCTTTTATATTAGTTTATGGCGAAAAGGAACTCAAATTTCGTATAAAGCATCACCAAAAGAGCGATCATTATGTTCTAGCGTCGAGTCATTGACCTTAGCATTTAGTCAATATATCTCTACGTAAATTTTGTTAACTTTTAGCCACACTTAACCACAACAAACTGAAACGCAGTTTTAAATTATAGCACAATTTTTTAACAAATTATGTCTCAATGCCACAAAAAATTAAAAAGTGCATATTTTGATGTGCAATATGTTGAAGTTTAGTGTATTTAAGGGGAACGTAACGGAAAAAAATAGAAGGAAAAATGGTTGCTATGCAGGATCGGTGCTAATTTCAGCAAGATCCCACACTCTAGTAATGTAACTATGGAAATATGCACATACTCCACTTTATAGGTGGTCCGTTATCTTGGCAGAAGTACATATTTCCTAAAATTGGAATATATTATCACGACAGCTGCAAAAGTACGATTTAATAGTACACCTTGCGATCCTGTCCTTATGATGACAAAGATATCGATTTTGGTTCGAATAAAATTTGCCTCAAGTTGAAGGTTACAAATTAAACATTAACAAGGCTATAATAGATTTTAATAGGAAAAAAGTACATACATCGTCCGTTAAAATGTCAGTTCGTATTTGACGTATAAAAACGTGTACCTAGGTAATATTTTAGAAAAAGTTATATATAAAAAAGCCGGCGACTAACGTTTAATATAGTATATCGCGTTGTATAGCAATTTCGTTTTTAGACGGTGTAGAAAAAAGCATAACTGCACGCAGTGTAATATGGACGGTTTAACAATCTTGTGTAGTATGGGTAAAGCATGACGCGTTTTTCACCGGTATGCTTAATTTGTCAAGCTGACGAACCTCTGATGGAATTGGCGCTTTTCTTGTCATCCTTGTCGTCGATTTGGGGCGGTGGGGTAGGTGAATCCGTAGAAGAAATGTTATCAGTTCTAATATCCCTTGATTCGGACGGCCAAGTTTCCCCACCAGCGAACAGCTCTTGAAAATTGTCCATTGTAAAGTAACAAAACCACTAAAAACGTTCGATCACTTGCACTTTGAAACGTTCCAGAAGTGCGGAGCATGGCGCAGCCAAAAAGGCCACACGACAATCCCCAATCACACACGATAAACTTTAAAATTCGTACGAAAAGTGTCGTTTATTTGACGCAAGATCGATGGTACAGTTTAAGGTCATCTTTGAAAACGTCGATTTCCATGCTAGAGACCTGAAACTAGAGAAGACACGGACGAGGGAGATTGATCACGTTTTTACACATCAGAATGAACCACCGCAAGTTTCGGGTTCATTCTGACCGTGCCGCTCTCTTCACACAGGTTGGTGCTAATCAATTTGGGATAGTTCATACATGAGCCTTACTCAGTAGTAGCCTGATAAGGCGCTGAACGAGGGGTCATTGGTAAATTCAACAAAGTAAAATCTGGCTGCGCGGGGTCAACGACCCCACAATGTCACTGCTTCACGAAACAAAAAAGAATCGGGCCGATTTCGTCGATCGGCGAAAATTTTTTCGAGTCGGGGCGAAATTCGAAGAGGGCGGCACATCAACGCGATTTGTTTAGTCGAAACCAGCATAAAGTACGACGGTTGTGTTTGGAGGCGCGGCAAGCCATTGAACTCTAGGTTGTTCACCGCCGAATATGGTTGAGCGAGAGATGCGATCGTTAATACAGGAGGATTCCGAAAAATGACCACGGAAAAATGCCCAAGACAATGTTGCGCATACGTCTATTTTTACGCGGGTGTGAACGACCGATTGTGATAAAACAACAACATTATTATTAATCATTAAAATTTGACTGCACGCGCGGAATTTTTTCTAATCAGACGTCGCCCTCTCGAAAAGCGTAAACAGAGACTCCAACCGCGGTCCCAAATCCCATTTCATAATTACTCGAGTTTCACTTGGGTTTCGGCGAGAGCGCGTGTTGCGAAACACTGGATTTCACTGCTTTTCCGGAAAATCGCGCACTGGACGTCGCACGGGTTGCTGCAGGTAACTGTCACTCACTTCACAAAAAACGACTGGGAAAAACGACCACCTTGAAGGTGCGAACGGGATTTTTACGAAACACAGCACTGCGCGATTCTGCCCGCTGCGCCTCGGCCGGTGCTTCCTTGCGTCAAAGCGGCACACATTTTGGACATTTTTTAAGAAAGTCTGCCCTAGCAAATTGTCCATGTATCTGTGTAGTAATATGGGAATTCACTCCGAGCGCCGACCGGCCGGGAGCCTTCCCTCCTTATCTAGCGCATTCGATGTAAATAAAAACGTAGGTCTTAGCGCCGGCTCCGTGACGTAGTCGTACCCCCACTCGGACGCGGGTTCAACGACCCCACCATATATACACTATGATTGTGTACACTCTTCGGACTCGATCGCTCGATATCGATGGGCTTCGCTTTTTTTAATAAGACGAAATTTGTCCTTTTCATTAGCGGGACAATCGACGGGATAATCGACACCTCTAGAGATGCGCGCGGGTCCCGATAAAAACAGGTGGAAAGTGCGAGAGATAAGGGAGACACTCGGCAGGGCCGGCTCACACCTAACGGAAAAACTGCGGCCTTCTTACACAAGTCCCAATACCAAATTCAAAAACATTTTATAAACACCACTTCTTTACATGTAACCATCCGGGCAAAAACAACAACAAAAAAAGTACCAACTGCTCTCCATACGTTGTATTGATGTTTTTCGACGTACAACGTTGAGAAATAAACCAAGAATACAAAGAAAGTGCTCTTCCCTTGTCTCTGAAGCACAACAAAGAATTCCACTTTCTTACATAAATTATAAAATTCGATTCTGTAAATTTCATTTTTGATTATGAGAACCCCTATAACTTAAAAGCATAGGCAAAGAAGCAGGAAGAATTTTGTCATCAACTTTTTAGTAGGGAAACACAGTATAAGTTTGAATAGCTACACTGTAGTACTTATAACAATTCTACAAAATTTCGGCAAAATGAATTGCTTCATTCATTAATTTTTAGAGTGAATGCCATGATAAATCACAAGTCTAGACTTGTAGACTGACAATATTTTGCACATTTTAGATACAATAAAATCATCAACAGATGACCGATAACAGAGAGATGGAAACAGGAGATCTACTTTTTCGTGCTCTACAGGTTACGAAACGTCGAGAAAACATCAAATTAACAGTTGGAAATAGTTTTGAAAAAACAAAACCTCAAAAAAAGATGTTTTCAATTGTCATGGCATAATCTCTTCACATGTTTGAACTTTTCCTTTCGACTTAACTTCTTCAAATTTTTTTTTTTATTATTATTATTATAGCATTCAGGTCATGTAATGTTATTTTTGTGACCTGCACAATTGATACACTAGTCTTGACATAAAAAAATTTTGTGACATCATAATTCTGAAGATAACAACTAAAGATTCACAAAATTCTACTTAAACCATAGACAGTTTGGAAACAAAATTGGTCGAACACAACAGAACTTCCCTCGCCCCGGAAATACAAAAAACAAATCTAGTTTTTGAAAAAATTATAAAATTTAATTATGCGAAGATATGTGTGTATGTAATGTTAATGTAAATGTGAACTTTTTCCTTAACAAAATTTTATGATGACGTCATTAACATTTTTGCAAGGACACGTATATCTAACAATTTGGATAGTAATATAGTAGTGTAGAGTAGTTCTTGATTTAATCAATGAAAGCAACCAACTCATTCATTAATTTTTGAAAATAATTCTAAAAACTATGAATGGGGTGATAAATCACAAGTATAAATTTATAATATTTTGCATTTTCAGAAAGGATTTATTCGACAAAATTTTGAGATGATGTCATCAATTTTTTGAAAGGGATAAACAATAAATTTTTATTTTTCCCAAAAATTTGGATGTCAAAGGTGAAAATTCGACACGGATCATACACCACAAGTGCAGGTGTATATTTTTTGAAAGGGATAAACAATAAATTTTTATTTTTCCCAAAAATTTGGATGTCAAAGGTGAAAATTCGACACGGATCATACACCACAAGTGCAGGTGTATATTATTTTATACAATAAAAAAAAACTTGTAAATTTTGATGACGTTATCTCGTTGGTAGTGTGGATAATTAGCCAAATTTTGGTTAATGTTTTACTACCTACATCATATTCCTAGTACACACAAATTTTGAAGAATCGGTCTAGTCGATTCGGAGATTAAAAATTTGGACAGACGGCATACAGACAGATGACAGGCAGAAACGGAAGACCTATTTGCTCATATTCTAGGGTCATGAAAGGTCGAGAAAACATAAAAGAAAGGAGTCGGTCGATAGACTCGATTACAATACTTCCTTAGCTTAAGCTAGGGAAGTAAAAAGTAATCCAATAACTAGTTTTTACTAAATTCCCATTTGAAGTTTCAAGTGTCCTTAATAATTGTCGTGAGACTGTGACTAGGTGCTAATCAAAATTGTCTACCGCTTTCTGATAAAAATTGATAACGTTATTTGTAAATAAGTATAAGTTAATCTTAATTAAAATGTGCGGTATAACGTATTTCTGTTTCTGTGGTTTAACAATTCATTCACTTTTTTAACCTTGCATTTACAGGTTATCCCAAAATATATGGACCATAAAATTTTGCGGTTTTTCTCAAAGATTATGTAACAAACTTACACGAAATTTGAATAAGTTATTAAAATTGATTTAGGGATTACAAAATCAGAATATATTTATTTATCCATTGCAAAAAAATAATGACGGCATCATCGATTAAAGCTATTTCGTTGACCAACTCTTTGGGAAATAGTATCTCCACTCTTGTTATGATTAATGCTAAATTGTATATACATGCTGTTCCAAAAATAACGGAAAAGCGCGTTGGTATATTGTTAGAAGGCTCTGAAGAACTCGAGAAAAACGGTCAAAAAATCCTTGACCAAATTTTTGAAAATATTAAACTTCAAATTTGAAAAATTAACTTCGTAATTCTGATTTGTCGCATGAACTGCATGTCTAATAGACAATTAATAATTAGTTATTAATAATTTTTACTGTTGACAGATGCCATTTTTGACTATTTTTATCGGAATTTTAAACTGTCTATTAAATTCACATTAAAACATATCAGGATTACAAAGTAAAGTCTTCAATTTTGAAGTTTTATATTTTAAAAAAATTGCTTCTCTAGACCATTGCTCTCTCATGAAATTGCACTTTTATATCAGATCCTGATATAAAACAAGAGAATTGAATTTGACTGTGTTTTTAAATTGCAATTGACTTTTTTGCTCTGTAAATGTATTTTAAGGTTAAGATTAATTGTCACAGTTGACCCCAAACATATTCGTATGACATTAGCGTTAAGATCAAAACAAACTAAGAGAGTAACATGATATTCACAGAGTGGAACACTCAACTGATGCTGTAAAAGCACAGCTAACTTTAATTCCTTCTTTTATTACGGTACGTGTTAAAATAAGAAGTTAAAAGCGCAGACATTTCTTTATCTTAGTCATAATTCAAATTTTAAAAATTCCACCATATAAAAATTTGACAGTATTTTCAAATGTAGGAAAGGTTCACTGTATCATAACGTTTCTAAAATTCGAACTTAATACAGTCGGAATTTTGAAATTTTAATTACAACCTTGAGATAAATTAATGTGACTGTGAACTTATTATGTGTGACACCCTTGTAGGGTCTGAAATAGTTAAGTGTGATGTGCTCTATGTAGAATAGAAAACATCTAGAGTGCGGAATATCCGCAATGGAGCGTTTAAGAAGGACGGCCGCTATGGAATGGATGTAAAAGAGAGGAAAAACAGTCACGTAGTGGACTCAAGTAGTGATAGAAATCAGATAGTCGAGTCAAGAAAAATTAATGATTATTATTATTATTAGTACATGAGAAGAATGTTAATAACTAAGCGCGATAACTTTTAAAGTTGTTGCTAAGTTAAAAAACCTACGTCAGACTGGTAACTTTAGAATCTCGATAGTTTTAACAAAATTGTTCGACAAGTTCATTAATAATAATGCAACTATTACAATCCAAGTGAACTACACCCTATTTCACAATTTTGCCCCGCCCCTGAAACTAAGCCCTGCGCTTGTTGCTTACCGTCTGAATCCGACCCTGGAGCCATTGACACCGACGCTTCCCGGTTCAGAACATGTGACCGATTACACGTTAGTGCAAAATCGTCCATCAGCAGATTCTTCCCTAATTGCCTTTATCTCATTATCAGTTCACTCACACCTTCCAAATTAATTGTTAATATTACACCTGGATCATACCCAAACAACAACTTGCTTAATTTTCGGTCATTGCCTCACAGAGTACACACAATACATTCAGTGTTATCGCCGAAAGTGATGTCATAAAGGTCAACATTTTTGTGGCCCCGCCAAATGTTGCACTTGCAATAAAATAATTCACTTTGCAAACTTACAAATTATTTTTGATAACATAATAACAGGACGAGTGTCCAAATGGACGTCGAAAGCTTTGTCGTTTAACTGTAAAATAACTGCCTACCTACCCGTAAACAACATGTTCGCATACCTTAAACTTAAGCATCATAATATCTTATTTTCGGCTGGAATTTAAAAATAATTTTAATGGCCGTTTAATTTGATCGTCTTTTTCATCTGCACGGGACTTTTAAATGAAAATTAACTTAAATATGTGCAAAAATGTTAACGGAAGGCGAATTTTTGCGCGATGACAGGAATTTCAAAATTACTCAGTTACACCATCTGATGGACAAATGCGAACAAATCTGAAAAATTCTCGGTCGTAGTTTGATGAAATTCCTGAAAAATTTTCTTTCACAATTACTTGTTTTTAGACATTGTTTTACTTCGACGTGGATGTCAATATACACCTCGTTTATTGACTTAAGGTGACCTTTTACCAACATTAATTAACCCAAAATTCAGTCAGGTTTTTTTCTATGACAAAGAACTGAACGTCATATGAACTAATAAAAAAATGTATGACACTATTGCAGTATTTTTCATACGGCAGTCAACAAAAAAAAGTACTGAACAAATAACGAAAATGTTAATTAACCTCTCGCTAGTAAACAATCTCATTTTTAATTCAAACAGTTAATAAAATCCCTAGCCCGTTAAAACATCGCATAAAATAATATAAAAAATAAATATAGACATCATTATTTCGAGCTATCAACAATGATCAGATAAAATGATTTTCTAGACGCGATTCTTATCGGTCATTGCCCTCGCAAACAATAATAATACTGATA